ATATATAAAAATGGATAGAGTTTTTTGCTACCTGACAGGCGTCATGTGTACATGTTCATCAATTCACATGTACGTGGACTTAAAGGGAATATATATGATTTTGCTGTTATTTTCTGAAGTGGATGGATTTGGGAAGTCAGTATTTCATAGCAAATTTTGTTACACTGACTTGTTTGAAGTTTTGTGTTCGTTGATGCTGGAAAAACCAAGAAAAACAATCATGTTCCTGTAGTCTGGTTCCCTGACCCCACGTAAGATGAAACAGATCAATTTATAAACGTCAAGGAAGTGTAAGGTCAGGGAACCAGTCCAGCTGGCGGTATACATACCGGTACGTACCCGTTCATCATACGGTAGGTGTGTAATCGATTGCAAACAAAAATGTGGTATTTTGGGGGTATAGGCCTACTTGAAGAAAAAAAAACAGTTCAAATTGATAGAAAAATACAGTTTTTCTTGAAAATGACAGCACATGCATGATATCATAGGATGCTTCAGACTGTCATTCACTAACAGTCCAGCAAGGCACCAGTATTTCATAATAATTTGGTAGTTTGAGTTTTTTTATGTTTGCAAATGTTGTACAATTTCCCTTTAACATGTACATGTACCGGTATTTTGAGAGACTCGGACTATGTAAATCTAGTCTGTTGCTTACAAGCCGTGACCACTTTTGTTTTGTTTTTTTCTCTTGAGATCTGCACAAACATCTACATGTACATGTAGTTACCAATATAACTTCCAAAAGAAATTAATGAGTTTGTCAACGGATGACGAATCAGTGTGCAAAACATGTGCATTGTATTTCCAAGAATGCTGAATTGGTCCAAAGGTTGTATCCTATTCCTGGTGATTTTTTTTTTTTCCTTTTCCTCATTCACATAACTTCTGCTACCAAGTAAATTAAACATGTGATGTCCTGTTACCATGTGTACACAGGATTAAAGACTTTCAGAAAGAGTGGTTGAGAATTTCTGGAGGTCATCAGGGGCAAGGTTTCTAACATCCAGCATCTAAAAAAAAATCAAGTTACTAGTCACCTGTTTATATTAGTGATCGGTATATTCAGAAAAGGAATCAAATTATGGCTGTTTGAACTTTTTTTTCCTGCCTTCGTGGTAGTAGTGCGTTCCTTGGAATTTGGGACAGAAAACTGCATAAAAGGGTTTGGACCGCACTACAAATTCTACATTGAACATTCATTGAGGAACACATACTGTACATGTAGAGTGTTTTGCGTTAGAGACAAAAAAAATGTGTGACAAGCGACAAGTTAATGGTGATGGGGCGTTCATTGCATGTGACTGCGATTCACTCAAGATGAAGATAAGAACTTTCCAAATTCCATTCTTTAGTCATGGTAAGGCATGTAATTTGTTTCTTTGAGGCTATAAATTGTGATTTCAATTCTCTTGAAATCTTTGTCATTTCTGTGAGAAGTCTTTCTTTTCTTCAAGACTGGTTTGAAATTCGGCCTAGGTGTTTGAAAGTTACATACCGGTACATACCGGTATACGTGTACATGTACCGTATGTGTATCTACCGGTACACCATTTTTTCTTTACTACGTGTAATGTGTGTATGTACGTGTTTCATTCATGACGTTCATTAACCATATTCTACACATGTGCCGGTACTATAGTGGGCGGGCTGCCACCACGTTATGGGTAACTTTTTATTGTTAGGCCCCCCAAAAACAATAGTCGGTCTCTGGTCAGACCAAAAGTTCCGGAATTGATGCGGCGATGGGGTTTTTGGGGTTTTTTTTTTCCAAGCTTGGATTGTGCAGACAATTTTGCTTTTTTTGTGTCCTCATATACATTTGTGACCTCTATCATTTGCCTTGGTGCCCTCCATCATTTGCCTTGGTGCCCCTCCCCATTCCTTTGTGCTCCTTGGTAGGAAAATGTAAGGCGGTACCACAGTAGAGGGCGCTGTTGTAGCTACCACTGAAAATTTGATGGAAAAAAAAAGATTGATGCGCATGATCAAAATAGACGCGCACGCTAGCCAGAGACCGACTTTTGTGTGTGTTTTTTTTTTTGGCCTTAGGCAAATTAGGACCGAGTTATGGGGGCTTTCTGCTATCCTATAGTGCCTTCAGTCCCCATAGTGTATCGTGGGACAACTCGTGTGTAGTCCCCACAGACATAGTTTGGGCCCCCAGGGAGAACAGTTCATTGACAACTGATGGGGCTACCCTGGTAAAATAACACGAAATAGTTACAGAACAAGAATGTACACGTACATACATGTTTGTGGTTCACTACCAATTTTTGTGGGCATGAACTGCCGGGTATATATTGTTTTTAATGTGTGGCTTTTGTATGCAATCTTTCGACTGTGAACACAATTTCTTTACCGATCGAAATGGGTTTTTAACAAACAGAGAAAAGGTTCCAATGCAATTTGTGTTCAGCCAACCATGGTATTTACTTCTCTGAAATTTGACTGTGAAGGCACAGATGTGCCTGTGTGACAGCAGTTGTACGTGAAAAAGCTTTGCTTTTATTAAACGAAGAGAGGCCTTCAACTTCAGAACAGTTGTCACGTTTTTGTGGGAAGTGCAAGTCGTGAGTTGAGAAAGCTTTAACCTACATTTGTAAATCTCCCCATGCCGTTTGGTGGATCATTGGAAACTACATGTATTAAAATAAAAACACCTGAATTTAATGCTAGTTCATCATCTTGGCTTCAAATCTCTGTCAGGTAAGCCCTGTTTGTTTGTTGAAAACTGAGGTTGCATTTGTGTATTTCAACAGTTCACAAATCAAAGTGGATACCGGTTAGATTTTGTTGGAAAAACCAGCATTGGCAGGAGATGCATGAGGCATTCCACTGCGCAATGTTCAGAAGAGTTATATTGATTGCTGGAAGCAGTTATTTAGAAGGCAGGGTTACATGTATCATACCGGTACATATAAGCCCTTTTCACACTAGAGCCTCTCAACCCGGGTTGAACTCGACCCTGGGCGAATCCAGTGCCGCCCCGGGTTGAGGTTTTGATTTTTCAACCCCGCGTTCAACCCCGCATCATTTCACACTGTTTCATGCAAATCAAGCTTATCATGCTCAGTTACTACCGTTTTGGACCCTGGCAAGATTTTCAACCCGGGTTGAAAATCTCAACCCTGGTCTGGAGCAGGGTTGAGTTCAACCCGGGGCGAAATCAATCTTGGGGTTGATGCAGGGTTGAAATTCTTCAAGTGTGAACCGATGCATGTTTTCAACCCTGCGTCAACCCTGCGTCAACCCCGAGATTTGTCTAGTGTGAAAAGAGCTTTAGAGGGCGGGGTTGATCCCCAGTCACCTATGAACTTTGGTTTCTTTCTTTTCTTTTTTTTTACTTTTTCTTCACAATTGTCTACAAAAATACATTTTTTGTGTAATAAGTAATGGCCAGAGGGGTCCAAGGATTGTGCACAAGTTCCCACTCGGAAAAAAAAAATGTGCCATGCCTTACGTTCTTTGAATCCTTGAACCATTAATTGCACACACGCAAGTGTGTGTGTCTCTCTCTCTCTCTCTTCTGGTGAAGTACAGTCTGGTTTTTAATGTACTGCGGTGGTTGTGTGCATGCAAAGTGAGGATACAGTGCAGGTGATTAGCTAATAACATAAGGTGCGGCCAAAACAGCTGGACTGGCTGCATACCCTGCTGGAAGCTTGCAAGTGATGCGCAGTTGACAAGGTCTTGTGGAAGGGTGTTCCAGATTCTGATGCTATGGAAAGAATGACTGCCGATATACCGGTACCACATGTACCCCTGTCCTGGTGAATGGTACTATACCCATGTCCTGTTGGTATGAGGTACCCGGTATCTGACGGAGTTACAATGTATCTCTCAGGGCAACTGTTGGTGTCAGGTACATGTAGGTATAAGGGACTTCAACCAGGTTGTTGACTATTCGGAACATCATCACAGCCTTGGCCTGTGCACACTGTTCTTGAAGGGGCCACTGGAGCTGATTAATCATGGCAGTGTTGACGCTGCTGGTGTCTCGCACATACATGTAGAGCTCTCACCACTGGTCATGAAGCACCATGTACATATAGGTCCAAATGCTAGACCAAAAGAAATTTGATGGATGACTTCAACACCTGCATGACACATTTGAACGATCACTTACATGTAGTGACACTTGTAAGTTTGTACATGGATTGATGCACTGGAAACACTGATTCATTTCACAGACGATTTTGTTTCTGTGAGGGATGCATGATCACTGGCCGCAATGTGGTTTCTGACAACGTGCCTTGACCAATGGACTGGACAATAGGGCTGGATAGCCCTGGTGGTACTTCACCGGTATATTGTCATGATTTTCCTGAAGCTCCAACTTCTTATAGTTTCAAATCCCACTACAGTTGGCATTGCCCTAACCCTGCTGAATCCAACAGGATCCAACTATATCATATACCCGCCGGAGCCTGTTAGATTGAGCAGTAAACCCCTGGTGTACATTCCTGATTGCAATATGTTGGATTCGGCAGGCAACTGAAAAAAAGCTAGGGCACAGTTGGATTCTGTTGGATTGAACAGGAAACTACCATTTGACTCTGTTGGATTTAGCAGGGTAGTCCTGAGGAACTACTAGGGTTAGGGTTGTAATGTCTGTGTTCAATCCAAAATTGATTAAATTATAAACTTAGCCAGTTTTGTTTGTTTGTGTGTTTGGAGTGCCGCAATGGCTGTGATGTCTGACTCGTTTGCGATGTACGTGGTTTCGAACCCTGACTGGGAAAGTGGTGCAGGTGTTATTGAGCAAAGCACTGTACCGGTACTTCAATTGCCTTCTTCACCCAGGAGTATAAATGGGTCCCTCTGTGAGGGTAGATCTCGAGCTGTTGAGCTGGTCTCATGACCTGAAGAACAGGGGTAATAATTGTGAAGCACTTGGAGACTTTGGCATAAAGCTTTAATTTTAAATAAGCACCACATTATCAACTTATAATTTTTCCAACTTGGAAAGTAAAACAAAAAAAATGTTTTTTCAACAGTGGCAAATGATGCTGCGTGGCTACATGGACTGAGCATGGATATCTTCAGGAGACTACATGTTGTTGTGCCACTTTCCCCAGACAACCTCAACCGGGACTCAAAGACTGGACTGCTCTTCATTGTGGCCATGATCTTTGCCCTAGCTGGGTCGTCTTGTGCCCTGGAGGACGGCCCTTGTAAGTGCATTACATCTTCAGGCTCAAATTTCAAGTAAAAATTTAAAAAAAATTAGTGCAAGTCTATGATTGTGAGACCTGCTGCTCTGTTTATGAGATTTCAAATGGCCAGCCAACCCTGGCAAGCTCGGTGATTGAGAAGGTTAAGGCGTTTGTAACTAGTCAGCATGACACCATGGTTTTGAATCCCCCCCCCCCCCTTTGGCAGATGCCACTTTTCGATGGGGACATTTTGTCAAGGCGGTTCATTGCATTTTCCCATCCTGTTAGCAGGTTAAAGCCATTACAGTTTTAAAATGCTTACTGCAAAACGCTCCACTGGCCCATAATATGAATCCCCACACACACAATTTAACCGGTGCTTTTTGCGTCCAACTTTTGACCCGCAACTTGATTGGCGAGTTTGAATTTGGAATATTCGGTCAAACGCAGCTTCCACAAGAAATCAAATACTAAATTATTTGAATATGGAACAGCCCTGAGGCTAGTAGCCCACAGTTTCACTAGACCAGAAGTATGAACTAGCTTTTAGTCAACAATATTTACTTGGTTCAAGCAGCATTTGGGGAGTTTTTGAGGGGGTTGCTCATGATCTTTCCATGTACTGCACAGACAAGATAGAGCATGTACCTGGTTCACAGTGCATTAAAGCGGGTTCATATTTGGCGCGAAATCAAAATAATGCAAATTCATGCGAACTTGTGATGTCACAGCAAATATTTGCTCTGCAAATTATCAACAGTTTGAATACATTTTAGTTCCGTCAAATTTCACTGTGACTTTTTTCCTGACGTTAAGTTCGCTTCACTTTTGCTTTCGCGTGAAGTGTGAAGAAGCTTTAAGCCCATTAGCATAGCACCGCATTGTATTACATTGTATATATTTATTCACTGACGAATTTATACAACTATAGAGCACTTGGGCAGTTTCATGTGTTACAGGGAGTAATAGGTGGGGCAGTTTGGGGCGGTACAGGGACAAATGGGCTCAGGACGTGAACAATCTCTGTCCCCACTGTATGTATCCTCAGTGACGATCCAAGTGGAGCACAGCGTGGTCCAAGTCAACACCACCCTTCAGCTCAACTGTACCTTCACCAACCCCGGCCGGGCCGCAACCAACGCTACCGACATAACATGGACTCGAGACGGAGAACCAATCACCAAGGCTAATGCCCGGGTGGAGGTCGTGGGCTCATCACAGCTCATACTCGACAGGGTGCAGTTTGATGACAGTGGTGTCTATGCTTGCAGGCTGGATGATGGCTCACCGCCGTCGACCGTCACCATACAAGTTGGATGTAAGTGCAGCACAAACTTACATGAGTTATTAGCCGAAAATATACAAGTTGTGTGTTTTTTGGTAATGTTAACTGTTTAGTGCTATGATGTGAAAAGTCAGACTTCAATCTCAACCAAATTTGGTGACAATAATCTTTTGGTAAGGGGACTTATTATGACTTGAGACATTTGAGGTCAAAGGTCGTCTAGGGGTCAAATGAGGTCATTGTTTTTGGTTAGGTAAACTGAAAAGGGCTGTCATATGAAAAGTCAGACTTCACTCACAACCAAATTTAGTGACAATAATCGTTGGGTAGGGGGACTTTAGATGACTTCAAGACATTTCAGGTCAAAGGTCACCAGGGGTCAAATGAGGTCATTGTTGATTTTGGTTAGATAACGCTGAAAAGTGTGCTTACTAACTGACTGTATAAATATTGCCAGCATGCCCAGGGGATCGCACAAGTTTAAATTGCTGTATTTTTTTTTAAAGGATTTCATGCGAAAAATTTAATATTGAACAAATGTTGGCACAGTTCCAATTTTTTTACATTTTTTGTTGTTGTTGTTGTTTTTTTATTTTAATAAACAGTGCCACCTGCCAAGATAACGGACCTGCGCTGTTACAGCCGCAACTTCATGACTGCGCACTGCTCATGGACCAACGGACCTGACACCAACCTGCCCACGTCACACCAACTGCTATGGAAGGAGTACTGGTGAGTACTGCGGTTCTCCAAAAGGGCCTCGAACCAAAATAGCCTTTTGAGTGACTCAGGTCGACCCAATTGTTTTTGTTTCAGACAGGGAAACTTGGATGTTTTAATTTTCTGTAAACTAGTGTAGGCAGCTGATTTCATGGAAAAGAGCGTAGCTTGTGCCATGCGTAAGACTTACGCAACAAATTTGTGTGCGCAATGAGCTTAGAGACCATTTCACGAAACTTGGCGTAGCTGCGCAACGTTATAAATAATTTAAAACATCTTGGACGAGGACAATGACAGTATCTAAGAATTTATGATTCAAACAAAAATGTCCATGCATTTCCGGACAACTGAGGGCGCTGATGCTGTGATGTCATTACAGGAAGACACTGTTCAGTTTAGGGGGTTTTTCTGTTCAAATTGTGAACCCAAAAATGTGCTCATTGGAAATACTAATTTGTGAGAAAAGTTTGCTCATTGGCTTGCTGTTATGTACAGACACAACAATGAATCACCAAAGAAAAGAAATATTTGCAAAATATCCAAAATTCTTGTAACTTGCTGAAATAAGAGTAACTGTAACATTGAGGTCTTTGCCTGAAAATGACTTTACACCTATTAATCATGAATATGAAAATTGGCATAAGCAAACTATGTACATGTACAAACCAAAAAGGCACCAAAATACCCTTTAAAAAATGGCCAAATGAACATTTATACTTAAAAGGGAATATACAACATTTGCAAACATTGGAAAACAAAACTACCAATTTTTTACGAAATACCTTAATAGGATGTTGGTAAATGAAAGTCTAAAGCATACTGTAAAATTATGGCACCTGGTGTGAAGTCATTTTCAAGAAAAGTGGTATTTTGTATAAATTTCCAACGGTGGTCGGCTGACCACTGTTGGAAAAACCGAACTATTTTTCAACTACTGCTCCAAATTTACCTTTTTTTTCAGTCCAAATTTTGTTTGCTATTGGTTACATGTTCATGAACGGGTGCAGGCCAGCTAGACTGGTTCCCTTACCTTACAATTTTCCGGCATATTTTATCCATTTCATCTTTAGTGGAGTCAGAGAACCAGACTACTTCAATATTTTTGTTTTTCTTGGTTTTTCCAGCGTTTTCGAACACAAAACTTCAAACTTGTCAGTGTAACAGTGTTTGATCTATTATACTAACCCCTCAAATAGTTCATTTCTGAAAATTACAGCAAAAGCCAATGATGTACATTCCCCTTAAATGGGATGCAAAGGTGTACTTTCAAGGATTGTATAAAATAAAATTACATTGCAGGGGCCTTTTATGGCCCCAAACAGCCAAGGGGGGAATGAGGTTGGCTTTTAAAGGGAATATACATCATTTGCTTTTGCAGTAATATTCAGAAATGGATGGAATTGGGGGGTTGGAAATATATAGCAAATATAGTTACACTGACTTTTTTGAGGTTTTGGGTTTGAAAATGCTATAAAAACCAAGAAAAACAATCATTTTCCTGTAGTCTGGTTCCCTGACTCCATATAAGAAGAAACAGAGCAGTTTACATACATTGGGGAGTTGTAAAGTCAGGGAACCAGTCTAGGTGGCTTGTACCCGTTCATAGGTGTGTAATCCATTGCAAACAAGTGCGATGGTCAATTGGGGCCAGTATTTGAAAAAAAGCCAGTTTTTTCCAACGCTGGTCGGCCGACCAGCGTTGGAAATTGATACAAAAATACCACTTTTCTTGAAAATGACAGTATACCAGGTGCCATGATTTTACAAGAAGCTTTACACTGTCATTCACTAACAGTCCAGCAAGGTATTTCAAAATGATTTGGTAGTTTTATTTTTTGATGTTTGCAAATGTTGTATTTTCCCTTTAAACCGCAATATCCCAGTATGTTGTGATGCTATCAAGGAAATTGAAATAAATAGAGATAAAATCTTTGCACAGAATATCAGCTATCTTTGAATCGATACCAGACACTAACAATAGCAGGATGCACATGCAAACTTCCTTTGTTTTTCCCCTAGTGGTCAACAGGTAAACTGAGGACATGTTGTTCCTTTTGGGAAATGACATGATCTCAACGAATTCCTGTATTTTAATAACATTTCTGTTTACAGAATCCTGTTTGTTCTTTTACTTGGCACCATGATTTGATATTCTTACTATTGTTACACAGGATGTCAGGTGCATTTGTGAATGTTTTTTTTTTTTTGATCCGAGTACAATTTTTGGCCTGTCTTTAAAAAAAAAAGGTGGATTTTATCAATCCTATTGTTAGTCAATTAAAGCAGGGTTGTTAATATAGATATACATTGTATTCATTAAGGGATTTTCACTGTATCTATTTGTGCATGTCCTAATCCTTACAAACAACACGGCACATTAATATGACAAGAGTACAAATGAATTTGATGGAAATACCTTTTATTTTTCACCTGAACAGGTATCTCATCCTTTTTAGTCGTATTTTAAACCCTTTCAGCATCATAAATTTGTCCCAAAAAATTAAAAATGATTACTTTTACATAAATGGTATTTTCTCAGCAACCCAAAGTGCTATTTTCATGATTTTTTTCAGTATTTAAAAGAAAAAGCTCTCAGCCTTAATCTGATACCCAAAACATAAAAATCCACCCATCCCTTTATTTTTTTAAAAGACAAATGTTTTAGTGTTGCATTTTCTTGGATCACCCTGTACAGACCGAAAATGATAACATTTATTGACTAATCATGATCATCTTTGTTATTTCTTTTTGTCCTCAGTTATGACGATGTTTTTATGCCGTGCAACATGACGGTATGTGACCTGCGAGATTTGGACAGTGCTTGTTTCACGGTCAACTCTTCCAACGCACTGGACCATACTAAGAGTGACCAACTTCCCTTTAAAAGAGATGAAAGTAAGTACAAGGAAGACACTCAAGGATCAGGGTTATTTCTGGAACAGGTTTGGGCGAGTTAACCATAGTTTGACTAACTTCGCTCGAACGCAGGATGGTGGGACTTCTCTAGTCGATTATTTGGAACCGGACCACAGGGCACGGTTCCTTCACTGGTTACCAATAGCCACGCATATCATAATGCACAGCGGGGAGCCAGGACCAAGAAGTTTTGTGAAGACGTTTTGACCAGCGAATTGACTAGAGGCGTTCGCAGGTTGCCATTGCGCATGTGCACGTTACATCACAGATCAACCACTAGTCCACTAAGGCCCAAAAAAAAAGTCTCCGGTTTCTGGTATGGAGCTTGCCCCAAAAGTGGTGCGCCGACGCGGCTTTTTTTTTTTTTTTTTTTTTTTTTACTTTTTTTTCTTCAAATGTCGGCTGATGACTGCAAATGGTGCCCGACTAAATTTAGTGCAAAATGTATGGGAGCCCAGAGAGGCCACATAAAGGTTATACTCGATCGTAGCCCCATCTAAAAACAAATTGATTTGTGCAGCAGCAGGATTCCAGTCAAACAAGTGAGTTTGGCGGTTTTGAGACATCATCTTACATTGAAAAAAAAACTTTTCAATTTTGCCGATGCGCATTGCTACGGCGATGGGCGCGCAGACCAGAAACTGGAGACTTGGGGGGGGGGGGAGAGCCTAATGATCCTCGTCCAAACTTGCTCCTGGATTATGCATACCTCAATCCTGAACTACCCCCCCCCCCCAAGGAAAAACAAATTCAATCTGCATTGAATCCAGATTTTAACTTCTATCCCAGCGAAGCTCATTTTCATGAAGTGCTTACTCTGGGGAAATTTCACTTGTCGCAAAAGTCTGTGGCAGGCATGAGATTATTCAGACTTAAGTCTGAATTCAGACTTTTTGAATCTGAGAGAAAAACATGATCAGTACAGAAAGAAATGCATCATTCAGACCTTTCATCCAATATGGGCGACTCCAAATACAGCGTGCCACCAAGAGGTTGCAGCGGAAGGTTCATTTTCGCAGTGCATTGTGGGAGACGGTCGACAGAATTGGGTCGACCCAATTCTGAGAGCTCTGTGGGCTTGACACCGATTTGAGTACGTATGGCACGAAGTACGTACAAATATTATATCCTGAATGAGCACGAGGGCGGATCCAGAACACAATATTTTGGGGGGCCAACTATTTTTTGGTCCCCCAAAAAGTGGGTCCAAAAAATGACGGCAAGGGGCTTGGCTCAGGGCCCGCTTAGGGGCCCCGAAGTTTTGTGATTCTACATTGTAGATGCTCTGTGGTGCGAGTTGAGGCAATTTCTGACCACTTTAACCAAATTTTTTGTGAGGAAAAGATTGTGGTGTACGCAGTGCCTACCTTTTTTTGCGACGTCACTTTAAAAAAAAATTGAGTTCGTTTTATTTGGGGGGGGGGGCCATGGCCCCTGTTGGCCCCCTGGATCCACCCTTGAATGAGCACAAAACCGAACAATCTTTGTGGTCTTATAACCAAGTGAGGAGGTAAATTTGCTTGTGCACGGAATAAATTATTGAGTTGTTAGTTACCTCTTCATTCTTTTTGGCGGTTGTCTTGTCTTTTTAGTTGTGCTTAATCCACCAAGACTCACCGCTGTGACTGCCAAGTCCGAGTCAGCCCTGCTCATTAAGTGGCAGCCACCAGTTGATTATGGCGACTATCCCACAGCAGTCCAGAATCATTTGAACTACCAGCTGCGGTGCGAATACAAAGACTCCAATTCTTCCTGGCAGAAATGCTCTCCTGCAACCACGGTGAGATCCCATTTTGTCGCAATCTTGAGTCGGTTGATCTGCAAGGATGTTTGTCGTAATGGGATTTCATTTGTATTTATCCCAAAAACTTACCTACCAAATCATTATTAAAAAAAAAAAAACCGGATGAAAGGGCCCACGACATGAATTTTTACTTGGGCTCATATATTATGCAATTTACTCCTCTGAAATGTATGAAACCTAATTTGTCATCCCTTTTTGGTTAATTTAGTTGAAAAGTGCACTTCTTACACTTTTTAGCATTACAAATTTTCCATGCTTTTCTTGACAAATGAGGGCGCTGTTGTTCTGATGTCATTTCAGGAAGACACTGTTCAGTGTATGGGTTTTCTGTTAAAATTGCGAACCCAAAAATTGCTCATTGAATACATTTCTGGGGAAAACTTTGCTCATTGGCCTAATGTCATGTACTGAATCAACAACAGCAAATCACCAAAGAAAAAAATATGACAGCAAACTATCCAAATTTGTGGCACATTTTGATGTTAAAATAGCTGTAACAGTGAGGTTCTGCCTAAAATGGCATCACACTTTTGCTCATGAATATCCCATTCATAAATTACCATTCATAAATACCTTTTTGGCCTATAATCCAAACTTTTAGGTCCAAACGTCAAAACAAGTCCAAAACTATAAATTTCCAACGATTTTGTTCAACAATTTTACCTCATGTTTTTCGGGACAACTCTCTAGCTATGTCCAGTATTGTAAACAACTCCTTATATGGAAATTGGCGTGCGCATCGCACGCGGTGCACAACGCAGCTGTGCCGGTGTATTGTGAATATAGGACCATGAAATTCTGACTCACTGGTAGTATTGCACATGCCTTCATGAGAAGTTTGAATGTTCAACCATTAAAATGGTAAAAGGCACTGGATTTCATAGGAATCCAAATTTCATGTGACCCTGGAAAAGTGTTTACAGGCGTGCAACTTTTCCTTGGATCAGCTGATTTCCTCTTTCTTTACTTCGCATGTGTGCCATTAAAAATAGAAAAACACTGTGCAAAGTCTTAGAAAGAGTTGAATTTCCTCTTTTTTGGTGACTTCCCGGTTGCATGCCTGTGTTTAAGACCAGCCAGCCATGTCTTTATCAACAGTTAAAGACCGGCCACGTGACAGGCTCTCGACCAATAGGAATGGGTATTATTCATGAATGTATTACGTAGTCTACTTTGTTAATCTAACCCAAATAGCAACTACATTTGCATATTTCCCTTTGCCGGCTGGCCAATTCGCTAAGCGTTTAATCGCACAATAATACGCCTCTTGGCGCCCACCCATGATGCCATGCGTTGATCTTTCCTAGACAACAATTTTGCTGACAAATTTGCTGGGAAGGAGAGGGGGGGGGGGTGGGGGTGTCACGCTCACACCCCTCCAACGAGCGATACCCATGATTGCTGATAGGGTTTTTTTTGCCGTTATAACATTTTTGCTTTTCCCTCTCTATTTTTCTTCTCTTTACCAGGTGGCGGAGGCATGCAAATTCTGCAGCATCAGAAACTTGATTCATCCCAGCTACGATCTTGGCAGTTTGTCTCAACCCTACGGGTTGTATCGCATCAGCTTGAGAGGAAAAGCTCCATCTGCTAAACACTGGAGTGATTGGTCCAACATCAAATTAGGAAGAACAAGCGAAGCAGGTAAAACCAGGCTTTCAAACATTTGGAACTCTTCTGCAATTTGCAACTGTGAAAAAGGTCAGAACAAAAAGACTTGAATAAAACACTTCTTTAGTTGGCCATGTTAGCACTGCATAGCAGAAGTATGTCATTAGAAAATTTTGGTGGCCCAGTCTCAACTTCATTACTGTTTTTCTCAACAGGCATGACACCAGACTACTAAACAGTCCATCATTATTCGAAAAAAACTTGACAGGTTCCATTCTAGTCTTACACTTTAAAATTCAGATTGGGAGTCTTTGCTTTGTCATGTGAAATAATGGGGAATAGTCTCTTTTAACCCTAACCCCTTGAGCACTTTTACAAGAAAGTATCCTGAATCTGCCAATATCCACCAATTTTGTCATGTAAAAATATGTTGGTGGCCTGAGTCCATCAGAATCTGCCAGTTAGCCCATCAGAATCCACCAGTGTAGTGCATATACCTCGTAAACAGCAAACATATAGCCAAGGAGTTAAACTGTTGAAATACTGAATCCATCAAAGTCTCCCAACTGCTCAATATTGCAATATGGTGGTATCCTGAATCCAGCAAAATCCCGCAGTACCGATTGGCTTATAGTCCTGAATCCATCAAAATCCCTCAAACTTTTTTTGAATCCACCGAATTCCTCCTAAACAGGGGTGTGGATTTTGAAGGATTCATGATCAGGTGCATACGTTAGGGTTAAAATTTGAACTGAGCCCTCCATTTCGACTGGTGAAATTACTGAACGCATAAACTGTTCTTGTGCTCTACCGACTGAGCTATCCGGCCCTATGTTGGCGGGCGCCCCATTTTGTCCGTCTTTGCTCAAGGGGTACTAGTCAGAAGCCATAAACCCGTATATCATCGCATCAGTGCAACAAGGTCGTAACACTTTTCTGCAACAAAAATGTACAATTGTATCTCGCCCGAATACGCTCCATGCAACAAGGTCGTATCTCGACATCCATTGACTTTGTGTGTACATCCAGGCCATGTGAAGTGAGATACAACCTTGTGACTTTCTGAAACTCGCATTTTATGTATCTCCCATTCAGAGTTGTAACGAGTCACTGATTTTTGTGACTCGAGTCGAGTCAAGTCATTTTAAAGAAGTGACTCAAGTCGAGTTGAGTCATTTTAAAGAAGTGACTCAAGTCGAGTCGAGTCATTAGGTCAAAAGGTCGAGTCGAGTCGAGTCGAGTCAAATATTTAGCTTGAGTCAATTCGAGTCACGAATATTTGAACACTATATACCAAAATTTATAAAAGGATGCCATAAGTTTAACCAGCATTCAAATCCAAGAGCTTTATAAGAAATCGCCCAAAGCCAATGATGAAACTGCGAATTAGAAAATGTGTTTTGGTTCCTGGATAGTATTTTGTGCGTTCTAGAACCATGAGGTGGTAGTCTGTGACACGTTGTATATTTATACATGACTGCTATTCGCAAAGTGAAGTGAGCATAAATTTTGCACCGTAAGTCATTGCAAATACTTTTCGCAAAGTTTTGCTTTTATTTTTGGGACTCGAGTCTTATTAGCGTTCGCTCGAGTCGAGTCGAGTCTTCTGATGAGGGACTCGAATTGAGTCAAGTCAGTTGCTCGCAGTGACTCGAGTCGAGTCGAGTCATTTACCCTAAGGGACTCGAGTCGAGTCGAGTCACCAAAAAATGTGACTCGAGTCGAGTCGAGTCGAGTCATTGACTCGATTCATTACAACTCTGCTCCCATTTAGGAGATACGACCTTGTTGCACAGACAGGACGATATGTCATGCAGGGATCACACCCAAAGCCAAGATACTAGCATTATTACCAATGCTGCAAACCTAGGAAAGTTTCTCACTAAAACAATACTAAGGACGTTAACGGTTTGTTTATTCTGTGGCTCTTGTAATTGTTTATCTTTTCTCTTTTAGCTCCACTGTCCGGAGTAAGCCTGGGCCTAACTTGTATAGCAGTCAACAAGACAGCAACTGCAGCAGAGAGGAATGTCCAACTGTTCTGGCAGGTAGGTAGTCTGAGTATCACCCGTTATCCACGGAGCCAAGACTCCTGTATAACGTCTGATATGCCAAAGCATGCAGATTTTTGCGATCTCGCGCCACAGCCAGTCGGAGTCGACTTTACTCAATAGTGACGTCATTTCATAGCCAAATCAGGACTAAAACTGTGATTAGTCAATTCGAATGCAGTGTTTTGTTATACAACAGCCGGGCGCGTGTCGCGTAACATCATACAGAGCGCCTGACCACAAGTCTTTGTTGCTGTGTCTAGGTTTTTTATCCATGTCTATGACGCGACAATGGTGAATGACTGAAGACTGGATATAGAAAGCCCCTGCTGATTGGTCAAAATGGTCTACAGACCTTTATCACTCTGCCACCATTTCAGTCATGTATCTAATAACAGGACTGAATGATAATGTTTTCCGTGCAAAAAAGAACCAGTCTATTTTTCCTTCCAGCCTCGCTTTGGTTAAGTTGGTCTGAATGGGAAAAAAAAATCAAGATGGCCACAACATGATAATGGTCTATTGCTTGCTTGCAGCCACTGCCCGAGTACAAGATGAATGGATTGGTTCTGTATTATGTGATCAACGTCAATGGCTCGTTATTTAACGCAACAGGAAACTCCAGCAGTCACTTGGAAAGAGGTGAGTACGTGTAGCAGAACCAGTGGTAACAGGCTCTGTGCATGAACAGTAGAGGGCGCTCTTCTGCCAGTCATGAGAGCTCCAGTGAGAGAGGCACCACGTACACGCACACGGTTCCATGTGGGGCAGCTGGGGGTGCAACCAAGTCCATGTATATGTAAAAAGGCCAAAAATCCATCCGTCGAGCTCGTGAATAATTGTTATACATTCAAATCATTCTGTATCTCTCACTTTCAAACTACTGGTTCTGATTTTCAAATGCATACATGGATTAGCCCCAATTTACCTCCTAGAATTAATCAACAAATATCAACCACCAAGAACCCTCCGCTCTAGTTCCAAAGATCTTCTTACTCCTTATCCAGTTACCACCAAATCATACGGTCAACGTGCCTTTCAATTCACTGCTCCCAAACTATGGAATGATCTCCCTAACCATATCAAAACCTGTCCCACCTTGGATCAATTCAAACAACTTGTTAAAACTCACCTGCTCACTTGCACAGGGGAGAAAGAGACTTAATGTGTTATGTGCTACATAAGACTGTTTATTATTATTATTATTATTAGAGTTCTGAGCCATGGAAGTGGGGGTTGAAGACATTACTGCACCTCTGGCCTGGACTTGGGGCTTTTAATTCTGAGCATTTCGGATGCAATTGGGTCTGAAAGTGGCTCTGCTTAGCTATGTTGTGGAGGGAATCCTTTTTCAAATAGCTAATTTTTCAGTTTGGGAAATACCTTTTGTGTTGGGGGTGGTCTTTGGGGGAGAATACCAAACTCGCTTATTCTCTTTTAATTCGGGCGATTCACAATGCAGTGCGCCACCAAGAATTTGCCACGGAGAGTTCATTTTTCCCAGTGCTTCATGGGAAATGGTCGACAAATTCGCAGCACGGGACATTTGAAATTGTTATTTTTTCCGGTCAGCAGTTTCGTAAGCGTATGATTCCAGTATATATGCTTGACCTTTTGTTTTCGTAAATGGTGTTTTTTGTAAGGTGGCAGAATGCGATGCCCAAGTCTATAACAAATTAGCTCAAGTTGTCTACTGACACTCATTTAAATGGGCCATGTTTTGTCGACCTTAAACTTGAAAAATGGACTCTCCATGGCAAACTCTTGGTGGCGCACTGCAATGTGAATCGCCTGAATTGTTGAGGGAGTACTTGTAAACAGAGTTCTTGCAACTATAACTTTAAATGGATGCATGAGGTTGTGCAACATTCCAGCTTGCTCCACCATGTCCTGCATTTCTGTGCCACAAATACAGTGAAACGCTGTTATGTCGAACATTATTATAATTTCTGTGAAGCTGACTATTCAATAAATAGCGCCCTTCAGACTACATGCCGACTATTGAGTTAATTTGATCACACAGTTTTTGAGCATACTACCTACAGCAATTGGTGGCTTTCCCCTTCTATTCCTTGGGGAAATTATAGCCACTAGATGCTCATCTGTTGATATTTTTCAACAACATGTTTGGTATGTTTTGTACACAAAAATCAGGAGCCAAGGATGATGTTCGGTATAGCCGAATGTTCGGTATAGCAGTGTTCAGTATAGCGACGTTCCACTGTATTAGCACAAGGGCACAGAGTGTGCATAGGTGTGTTGTGCACATTCAGTTTGACTTTATTCATGCGCAATGCAAGAACTTGACGTGATAACCGGCTTCGAACTAGTGTAAAACAAATCCAAAAATAATAATTCAGCATTTTTCCCCAGCTTTTGATAATGACTCCTTTCAATTGTTTTGTTGTTTTGTTTTGGGTACAGGTCTAAACCCATACAAGTACTACCAAATTTCTATTGTCGGGTTCAACTCTGTTGGTGCCACAGACGAAGATACTTGTGAAGTGCATCCCATGCCTGCAGGTAAAGCCATTAGAATATTTCTATCCTTTGACATTAACCCTCCTATGCAAACATACATTCTGTTGAGTGGTGTGGCCTCGTGATCTGGAGCATTGAATTCGTGGTCTGCGGGTAATTCTGCAGGTTGTGTGTTTGTGTCTAGCCTGTGGCTATTGTGCGTGCGCCCTTGGGCAAGGCACTTTTTCACTCATTGCTTCTCTCCACCCAGGAGTAAATATGTACCTGTGAGGGCAGAGATGGTTATTGTGGTTGATTTTAGCTGCTTTGTGCCAAAAGGGCAGCATCGAGCTGTATACTCCCCAGGGAGCTGAGATGGTATTTGGAATGTTTCATTGGCCCAATGAGCAGGGTAATAATGATGTAGCGCCTTGAGCACCAATAATGGTGGATATGTGCGCTTTATAAATACCCATTTTTATTTTGTGGCAAGTTGTCCTTGCAGTCAAAATCAAGTGACTGTTTTCAACAGTTAAGAATTTCCAGCCAACATACATGTAAAGCAGGATTGACTGGCTGGGACTGTTTATGTAACTTGATATAGCTATGCTTTGACTCTGGGTGAGTGATACAACAGCTGTGACTACAACTTGCCTGCTTGGTCTTTTTTTTTATCTCCGTATTCAGTAGCATGAAATGGCTAAGAATATTTCTATTCCCCCGGACGGATTGCTAGTCCGTCGCAGGTTACTCCCCAGCTAATGCTGGTACCCATACTCCTGGGTGGAGAGAGGCAAGTGGGGGTGAAGTGGCTTGCCCAAGAACACAACATATGGCCAGCAGCTGGAGTTGAACCCATGACCCTCTGATCATGAGTCACAAAACCACACTCCCCCCACAACTGAACCGCGTTGTAACTGCATCCTTCGCAATTCAGCTCCTGCTACGAGTAAGGATGACTAATCCCCAAAATGTATTTTTGTATTGTTTAATTTGACCTGATCCAGCAAGAACTCTGCGATGATAAGCAAGAGGTCATGGGTTCTACTAGTCCCTCCCGTGTACACTTGTGAAATTTTTTCTTGCACAAACTCTCAGAGGAAGTGCGATGCTGAAAAGTATTCTGTTGGTAAAAGGCAAAACCCAATATTGAAATTTGCTGAACAAATAGGGGTTTCTTTTTGGTATCTTCTTTTTTTTGCTCCAGTTGTTGAAAGTTCCACCCCAGTGGTTGCAGGCATAATAGTGGCGACACTCCTCTTCATTGTTTGTATCATCGTTCTGGTCTATGCCTGGCAGAGAGTCAAGAAGTCAATGGTTCACATCCCAGACATCAGACTGCCAAACTACATCCAGGTAAAGTTATGAACTCTGTGCAGAAACCGCAGATGGCACTTTGGTTTTTTAGAAGGCGGCTACGTGCAAAAAACAAGTTCAAAATGTCGAGTTAATCCAACTGGTTCTTCTCAGAACCACACAACTCACAAAGAGAAATCATCCACATTGTGTTACCGCAAACCTCCTTTCCAGTAAACAAAATACAAAACATGTGGGAGTTCTTCACTTAAAGATATAGTCCATCATTTGTAATTTGTGCATTTTGTTCGTTTGAAGCAACAAAAGAGCTCAAAATCTAAAGAAGGGTACTGAACAGCTAACCTGATTAAGTTTCAGCTCAGCTTCAGCTGTATATTCCGAGAAAAACAACATTCTAGGATCTCAATTTCAAATCAAAAGTTGCTGAATCATGTTTTGAATTGGGCCTGAATTCAGCATCTGAGACACGTTCTCACTGAGTCGACTGAGCCAGTTACTTTTTGGATAGCTGCAAATGATGGACTATAGCTTTAAACTTGAGTATAAACTATGGAAGGACAATAGGAGCCCAAGACCTCAGAAGGGTTTTGTGTACAAACTTATGCGAGATGTCAAGAAAAAGTCCAAACAACTGGAACAAAAGAAGACATCAAATAAGGGTCCTCAGAAGTAAAGTACATTTTTAAATTTCTTTTTTGTTTACAGACGGACAACTTGTACACATATGGAGGTCCCCATCGGGGCCCCATCCGTGAGAAAGAGAGTTACGATGAGTTGATCAACTCTACCCTGTTCGTGGATCTGACTCCAGAGTCAGACAGCTGTGATCCCTGCTGCAATGGAGTCATGACCAATGGCTTTGTCATTGACAAGGGCCAGAGCAAAGAACCCATTTTGGAGCCCCTGGAGAACCGGCGCAAACACCCGCTGCTAAGCGCTAGGAGGACCAACAGTTTGGTCAACGAGAACTACTCACTGGCTCCGACAGAGCAAGAGGCCCTTCTCAGCGACGACCCATTCCTGCCGGAGGTGGAGCCTGACAAGTGCGAAGAGCCGTCGGGAGATTACTCCCACCACTATGGCGGCTGGAAAGACAGTGCTCTAAGTATCCGCAGCGGTGGCAGCTACATGCATCTGAGGGAGGAAGATGCTGCCAGCTACTCCAACATGACGGATGGAGGGCTGACCCCTATCAGCGAAGACGGCCAAAGAGTGGGGAAGGATAGGTTAGGGGATGCACAGGAAACCAGGCCAGAATCATTACCACAAGATGGTGCCAACAGACCAGACCTGGAGCAGCTACCTCGAGATGTTTCTGAATGTCCCTACACTGTCATGGGTATTGGCAATGTCAAAGGAGGATCTGGGAACTTGTCCCAGCATCCTGGCTTTCCTGAAAATGACGGCCATGGTTCCTCTTACATCGATATGAAAAGGAAAGGGAGCCAGGAATTAAGGGACCAACCTCGTCAGAACCTGCCAGGTAGTCAGCATGACCCCAAATCTCTTAGTGACTCTCATCCTTGTGCTGTTGATGACAAGTCTCTTGAAGCTGCTCAGGACGACCCTTGCAATACCCTTGGAAATTACGTCCAGCAGGGATTGTTTCTGTCTCCGTCTCCCAAACTTCCGTCCTCTCGGTCCGGATCTCCAAGACCTAACCCCTCTGGCAGGACAACTCCAAGACTGTTGGAATCTTGTTCACCCACACAACCCAGGGGTGACACAGATCCCACTGAGAATCCAGTGCAGGGTTTGCCTGGCCACTCCCGGCTTCTGTCCCCTCCAAACCAAAGTGTCGAAGCGCCGAGCTCGTTGGACTCGCCAGACAGTTCACAGGATGACATCCAGCCATATGTCTTGAACACCTGTGTTCTGTCTGGTAGTGCTGAGCCATTGCTGGCGAATCCACGTCCAGATGCAGCCTCACCTCAGCCCCTGTGTGAGAGTCATCCCAGTCAGGATAGCGACTGCAGTTCCTCCGTCTCACTGAGCAATGGGGATTCGTTGAGTGAGAGCACGCCTCTCATGTTGAATGACAGTGACGTTTCTGAACGCTCCTCTCCATCGGATGAAGAGGGCAGGGCAAATCACGCGGCTGTTGCTGGTAGTGAGCCTGGTACTGGTTCCAGCACAGCTAATGGTGAAGGGGGCTACATCACTGTGGGTCAGCTGCCTCCACCAGCCTCAGCCAGTGCCGTAAACGGTGACAAATGTGCTAATCCAAATGTGGATGATGGTCCTTACGTCACGCCAGACCAGCTACAATCCCTGACCAAAGCTAGCAGCGCGGCCGACTCTGGCACTGGGGATACCAGTTGCAATGGTGAAATAGATTCTGAAATGGGCAGTTACGTCAGCCCAGATGAGGTAGCCAAGTGGGCTGTGCCAAAAGCGGCAAACACAAAGTGCAATGGATTGGAGAACGATGCGTCCAATGATACGAACAGTGACTATGTTACCGAGGCACAATTGCGAGAGATGATAAAAAGCAGTACAAAGGACGCACCTTGAACAGTAACAGCTACAGAAAGGTTTGGAATGTGAATTTTGTGATGAAATTGCTATTTTGATAGCAATACAAAAGTTGTTCACCTTTGAGTGAGACGTGAAACCAAAAAGTTGGCACCTCTACTTGTACACACACATGTAGATGTGAATATAAACGCTTCACATATATTGAACTATTTTCGGCCTGGGGTGATCATTTCTCGCAGGCTAGAGTGGTTCCTACCTCATCCCCATCAGAATTGGTAATGTATGGGCCAGATTAGTTTTAGGTGTGTATGTTAGTGTGTTAAAGTCAATGCCTTTATTCAGAGGATTAAACACACCAAAATAGAAAATGAAACTTGGCATTCATAGAAAAGAATAAATTTGTTGGAAAGCACAGACAGTATCTCTAAGTCACAAGTTTTTTGTTTCTTTATCGGGGCCGTATCATAAGTCCGACACCTCATAGGTCCGACGCCTCATAAGTCCAAAATTTCGGACTTATGAGGCATCGGACTTATGAGGCATAAAATTTATTTATTCTCTTCATAGGTCCGAGGTGTCGGAGCTATGAGGCGTCGGACTTATGAGGTGTCAGACCTATGAGGCGTCGGACTTATGGGCCTTTATTTGGTTGGGGAATACGATTTTGTCGGACTTATGAGGCGTTGGACTTATGAGCGGACCCCACTTTATCATACACAATATTTTCTTATTGTACGTGTTAATATATTATATACAGGTGTATATAAGATTAAAAAATATATATAAGATTTGTAGGCACGTGTACATACTGTACATATGATGTACCTTTATCTTTTAAATTGAAAAAAAAATAATAACATCTATATCGACCATTTTTTCTTCAGATACCACTTTACCAGGGTGTACATGTACATTGTGCTGTGGTGGCCTACATGTACAGTGTATTTTTCTTTTTGGCCGTAACGTTGTCATTGTGGTTGTTGTATGCATACACACGGTACAGGTAAACAATGTCTAGTGACCAAAAATATATAAATAGTTTCCCTGTGTATTGAGTAAAAAGTTGAAGAGTTTATTTCCAAAATGCGATACACTTCATTCTGTTCCCATTTAGAATCCTGCTCTCTTCTGGCTGCCCAAAAGCAATTTCGCCGGCTTCTATACTTAAAGGGAAAATACAACATTTGCAAACATTGAAAAATAAAACTACCAAGTTGTTACGAAATACCTCACTAGGATGTTGGTAAATGACAGTCTAAAGCATCCTGTAAAATTAGGGCACCTGGTGTGAAGTCATTTTCAAGAAAAAATGATAGTTTTGTTTACATTTCCAACGGTGGTGGTCGGCTAACCACCGTTGGAAAAACCTAACTGTTTTTCAACTACTCATCCAAATTTACCTGGTTTTTTTCAGACCAAATTTTGTTTTCTATTGGTTGCATGTTCATGAACGGGTGCAGGCCAGCTAGACTGGTTCCCTTACCTTACCATTTTCCGGCATTTTTTATCCATTTCATCTTTAGTGGAGTCAGGGAACCAGACTACTTGAACATTTTTGGTTTTATTGGTTTTCCAGCATTTTCGAACACAAAACTTTAAACATGTCAGTGTAACAATATTTGTAGTTCATTTCTGAAAATTACAGCGAAAGCCAATAATGTACATTCCCTTTAAACAGGGAAGAGAAAAATGACGTTTTGGATATAAACTCTTCATTTTCAACTAGTAATGAGTTCTTCACTGAATTACGCACACAATTGTACATAGTATGAATATTGGGGGTGTAAAGTTAGCAATTTTAATGATACAATACGTATTATGATACTATTTTTATAACTAGCTGAGTTACGGTGTTGTCTCAGTGAAACTTAATCTGTGATGCTTAAAGTGACTATACAACATTTGCTTTTGCTGTAGTTTTTCAAAAAATGGATGGGTTTGGGGTTAGTATTTTGTAGCAAATATTATTACACTGACTTGTTTGAGGTTTGTGTTCGTAGACGCTGGAAAAACTAAGAAAACAGTCTTGTAACTGTAGTCTGGTTCCCTTACCCCACGTATGATGAAACGGAGTAATTTATATACATCGGGGAATTGTAATGTATGGGAACATATCTAGCTGGTTTGTAACCATTTATAGGTATGTATTTGATTGTAAACAAAATGCGGACTAACTAAATATGGTTAATTGGGGGCAGTATTTGAAGGGAAAAAAACAGTTTTTGGCCGACCAGCATTGGAAATTGATACAAAAATACCACTTTTCTTGAAACTGACAGCACACCAGGTGCCATGATTTTACAGGATGCTTTTAGACTGTCATTCACTAACAGTCCAGTAAGGTATTTTGTGATAATTTGGTAGTTTTGTTTTCTGATGTTTGCAAATGTTGTACATGTATATACCCTTTAATTGTCCTCTCTAAGTAGCTTTTATTGAACTCAATGTTTCAGACAATCCTTTGTAAAGATATAGCCATGTAGACGTTTGTAGAATAACCCAATTTTCCCATTGCTGGGACACTGGGACCATTTTGGGATGCTCTTTTTGGATGCCCCTGTGCTCAAGTGCACATCACAGAAAACTGACACCACGTGTGCCTTTTTTTGTCAGGTTTAAAACATGTCTTTGAAGATGAGTAGATTTTGTGTGTTGTGTGTGTGATTTGCACTGCACACTGTAGCATCCCAACAGCGGCCAAAACCAATACAGCAATGGCAAACTTGGATTATTCCATATTCTTATACCTCATACATATTCATGATCAGGAGCTGATTTCCTACTGGTTCATTCACCATCACATGTTATCAATAGCTAGTTTTGCAGTTTATCAATGGCACACACTAGGTTTCACGCACAGGTTAAAATGGCATGCATAGTAGACTAGCACACGGGCTACTCCATGTACTCGTGCGCTTGTGTACTATGCATGTGCTCTTGTAACGAAGCAATTGTGGAAGTAACGCATGGGGGAAGTGCGCATGTGCAAACATCCCCCTAGCTCTGTGTAAAGATAAGGGCACACGCACGTACAGCAATGTTTTGCCAAGAAAACTGATGCAGTGATGCATTACTCGACAAAATTGTGGTGAATATGTATGCGGTGTAGTAAAGTAAAATATGGTTTATTTCGGTTGGATAGTTGACATTAACTCCTCTCAGTATTATAAGTTATCCCGCGAGCGCGAGTGGAACACGGAATAATGTAGTGCGTCTGTGTCCCGCATACGGCCGAGTGGTTTGTGGGACACAGACGCACTACATTTTCCGTGTTCCACGAGCGCGAGCGTGATAACGAATTTATCTTCAAACAAACTTGACGCACAGTAAAGATGGAACACGCACGTTGTACACTTTTCAGCAGTTATCCTATTGCACGTGCGTGTTGTACGGAATGGCGCTCGCATCTTAGAAAAGCGCAATACGCGGAGTGCGGTATGAACCGAGGACGTGCTACATGGTTATATGTAGCACGGCTTGTTGCCATGGATCGACCAATCAGGATCGAGGATTCAAGTTTGCTTGAAGATACTGGAAGTTGACAGACTACCAGTAGCTCCCTCGGCTTTGCCTGGGGAACTTGTCTGTCAACTTTCAATATCTCAGGAAACTAATATCGACTATCCGCCCTCAAACCATGTTTTTTTGTACATTGTAAATATTAAATAAGACTACATGTATACAAAAGAACATGAAAAATCTTTTTGTAAAAAAAATCCAAATTGTGGCATACTTGTACAGTGTGCAGATGTAAAAATCATGAAGAGTGATACCACGTATCAATTTGTTCATTTGTTTGTACAATTTGTATATTATTTGTCCAGTACAATTGCTCTGGTTTTTGTACATAAGTGATCAGTGAGGCAGTATAAGAATTCAGTTCAAGAATTGTGAGAGCGATTGCACAGAAACCCAGAATTCCATCCATAGGGCATGTAGGGCAGTGTGGCATTACCTGTTGTACATCGTGATCAGCCGAGCCGATGAAAAGATCTTTTCATTAACACGTAAATTTTCACCTGTTGCCATCTGTAGTACCCATGGCCTTCAGCTCCAGGCTCACGACTCAAGAACCATTCAGTTTTATGAAAATGGGTCTGGGAATGAGATAAGTAGATTTCAGAAGTTCCTGGATGTCCACACCATCCTATTGTATACAAGTGTAGAAGTTCTACTCAACTTTGGCATTGATCCACAATCAGAATGTCGTTGATGGCCTTCCTCAAAAAAATTCCACAGATTCCTACATGTAAGAGCAGATTATCACAAAATTAAAATAAATATGCTACATAAAAAAACACCTTTTTTTAATTGAAAAGAAAGTGAGAAAGCTATTTGGAATGGATGCTTTCACTTTCACATTTGAAGTAATTTTAGATAAATTGAGCTCCCAAAATGTAACAGAACAACAGTGACCCCAAAAAATCTGTCAATTGTATCATTGTGGGTATGCTTAAAGGTAGAGTAAATCATTTGTAGGTTGTGCATTTTTCTTTCTTTTGAAGCAACAAAAGTGCTCAAAATCTAAGGAAGGATGGTTAACAACTAACCCGGTGTATGTTTTAGCTCAGAGAATGCTGTGCATGTATATTCCGAGAAAACAATATTCTAGGATCTCAATTTCAATTCGTTGCCGAGTCACATTTTGAATTGCACCCAGAATCAGCATCCGGGACACATTCTCATTCAGCCTATAGCAGCTAGTGCTACGCAATGTCACGCACTGAACTGATAACAACCGTGCATGTGTGCATCATGTCAACGCTTGCGTGCACCCATTCACGGTTTGCCAGGTTGAAAACAAACTACTAACGAAAATTTCACAAAATGCGTTTTAACTTCAGATGCATCTTTGGAAATTTACCTTCTTTATAATTGTTTTCTTCAAAAGGACAGCATGTCAAAAAGAACAATTTCACAGGGAGCGCCATTACTATCTTTAAACCAAGAATGCTTTTTAACAACAATTTCATCAGTTACTTTTTTGGTAGCTGCAAATGATCTACTATTGCCATAAAAAAAGAAAGAGCCCACGGTAAAAATCATTCAGTTTCAATGATTCTGCTAAGAATTTCTTGTCGTGAAAATGTGACGTATGTAACAAGTGGTAGAATAATTCATGCTTGCGGAATTCTGAATATTTGTAAATAAGATGAACCTTGATATGGCTATACAAAAGAAGAGTATTATTAGCAGTTGTCATGGTGGCTTCACAATTGTGAATAGTGTTTATAACCAATATTCTGGCTTCAAAAATTTCACTGAAAATAACAATGGAGTATATTCAGTCTATTCTTCTAACAGTATTATATGAATACAGAATATATAATGTACTTTTTTGTGTTGTGAATATGTAAATATTTAAATTTATATAAAAAAAAAATCAATGTCTATCGTATTTGCTTGGAGAAAGATGTCTTGTAAAAATCTATGGTTAATTGTAATGCTGAAATTATATCTTCTTTGTTTTCCCCCATTTTTTGTGTCGCGATTGTTTGAAATTGTACTAATGACATGTGTTTGCAGCTGTTTGAA